AGAAAATGAGAAATTATATTTTCCCTAAGAAAAATGAGGCGTATTTTTGTACTGTCAAAATCTGACATTAATTTTATTACATTTAAGCACATTTTCCCTCGAAATTCTCATTACTCTTAATGATGATTCTCATTACTGTAATACTGTTTTGCTCTTTTTGTATGTTTTCCATCTTAAAACAATCAATACATTATTTAGAAATATATATTCTGTATATAAAACCCACACACACACATTTATTAATATGTGACCGTGGTGGACCACAAAACCAATCATAAGAGTCATTTTTTTTTTAATTGAGATTTAAACATCATCTTGAAACATCATCTACAAAATGTACAAAATATCGTCATGGAACATGATCTCAATATCCTAATGATTTTTGGCATAAAAGAAAAATTGATAATTTTGACCCATACAGTGTATTGTTGGCTATTGCAACAAATATACCCGTGCTGCTACTTATGACTGGTTTTGTGGTCCAGGGTCACATATAGTATATAATAAGTAGGCTGTAACAACAAGGATTGAATCACATAACAAGGATGTGATATCTATGAATACTATGACTGACTTTCATAAAGTCAAATGGATTTCAATGAGCTATAAGACTGCATTATGAAAACTTGTTGGTGAACTATGCTTTAATGTATCATTAGGTATTTTTCATATTGCAATTAGTTTTACATGATTTTGTCTTGTAGAGATTCATCTTCCTCTGTCTCTGCACTTTCAATAAAGCTTTATTGGCATGACTACTGCAATACAGTACAACAAAGAGCTGTTCATGACTTTAACTACAGACAAGACATAATAATGTACCAGCAGATCATAGATTCGTAGTGATTGGAGCTTATGGAGGGTGAAAGAGAACACTTAATATTGAACCAGAGATGAAAAGATATCACTCTTGTGCTGAGGAGAACGGTGTGTGTGTGTGTGTGTGTGTGTGTGTTGTGTGTGTTTGTGTGTGTGTGTGTTTGTGTGTGTTTGTGTGTGTGTATGTGAGAGTGTGAGAGTGTGTGTGTGGCGGAGGCCATCTGGAGGCAACAGGTCTAGTGTCAGCGGGCAGTTGCTGTAACACAGTCTGGTGCTCCCTTGGGATGATGTCAGACACACACATATACACACACACACACACACACCATACGAATCAATCTGGCGTTCAGCTGAAACACCCTGACAAAAAGCCAAAAATCTTTGTTGAGTGTCCTTGCTTGTTAAGAGCACTTCTCCATGTGGGGAAAACACTGCAATTTTGGGCTCGTGCATGTAAACAGAAGAGAGGGAAAATGGAAAGAGAGAGCTCTCATCCGTTTGATTAGGGAGTACAATTCTTGGTTTCAGATGACAATTTGCTAATGTATTTCAAATCAATTGCAGCACATGATGGATTTTGCTCTAGTGAAGAGGAATAATGCTAATCAGATTCTGTAGCCTTTGTATGTATGCATGTGTATGTGTGTGTGGTGGCATAATTGTATTTGTATGTAAATGTTTTTCACCCCCGTGTGCTCATAAGGACCTGAATGGATTTGTGTTCGAATCGTTTAGTGAGACAGGAGTCTGACTGCTCACCCCACTGTCAGGCTTCTGCGTTTCCTCTCCTCTCAAATCCCCCATGTGAATATTCATAACCCCTTTCAAGCCTTTTAATAACTTGTTTTTGTGGTCAGCATCAGAGGCGGCTGGCATTTCTGTGTCAGGCCGAATAGAAAAAGAGAGACCGAGGGGGAGAGAGAGTGACAGGTTTTCTGAGATGAGCTGTGAAGCTTAGCTCAGCCGTTAGCATCGCTAACTCCCACCTCAGCATGCTAAATCCTGCAAGTGTTTCTTTGGTTTTGTCATTTTGCACTCACAGACAGTGCACAATGTCATGCTGCAAAACAAACTTTTTCCTTCACTGGCATTTTGTTGTGTTGAGCAGTAAAAATTTCTAAACATTTTTAAAGGAGTAATTCAGCTGAAATGAAAATTCTGACATTTACTCACCCTCATTTCATTCCAAACCTGAATGTCTGTCTGTCTTCTGAGGAACAGAAAATAATATATTCTGAAGAATGTTGGTAAGCAAACAATTTTGCTTACTTTTGACTTCATTTGTATGGAGAAAAACAAACAAACAAAAAGCTTTGTTATATTTATGCTTAAAATAAGGGACAAAAAGATGATTTTTGATGAATGATGTAAGATGTGTTTTCTGAAACAGTTTTTAAAGAGAGAATTCACCCAAAAATGAAAATTCTGTTGTCGTTTTTTTCACCCTTGTGCTGTTCCAAACATGCTGAACACAAACGATATTTTGACAAATGTTGGTAACCAACAGTTTTGCTTACCATTAATCTCCATCATGTGGACCAAAAAAAACTGAGGCATTTCTAAAAATATCTTACAACAAGAAAAAGATGAATTTCCAATTAAGTAAAATGTTATTTCTAAAAACAAGTCGGTAACACTTTACTTGAAGGGGTGTGCATAAGACTGACATGACACCTTCATAATCATGACATGACACATGTCATGAATATGAAGGAGGTTTTATGCATGTTTATGACAACTGTCATTAAGTGTCATTCGCTCAGTTATGTAATTTTTAATGCAAATATGACATTATTTGACCTAACCCTAACCTAACCCTACCCCTACCCTTACCCCTAACCATAGCCCATAACAAAGACATCTCAAACAATGTCATCTTTGCATTAAAAATTACATAACTGAGCGAATGACACTTAATGACAGTTGTCATAAACATGCATAAAAAACCTTCATATTCATGACATGTGTCATGTCATGATTATGTAGGTGTCATTTTATGATTATGAAGGTGTCATGTCAGTCTTATGCACACCCCTTCAAGTAAAGTGTAACCAACAAGTCTTAATATCGCATGCAGTTATGGCTTAAATTGAATTCATTTTAATCACAGAATGAGTGGCACTCAAGAACCGAATTAGTCCAATTTATGAATGAATCATTCTTTTGAGTCAGTTCTTAGTGAATTGATTCAGTTCACAAATCTGAATTGATTCTTGAGTTAAACTCACTGACTCTGTTATTAACAGCTCAAAGGAGGGCAAGATTATTAGTGAATATTGCCTTCATGTTATACTGATTACTTCTATGATGTTTTTTGTCATTTTTGTAGGCTGACAAAATAACTACAACATCATACAGTTTTGGAACAACATGAGGGTGAATAAATGATGACAGAAATGTAATTTTTTTTGGCTGAACTATCTCCTGTGAGCTTTTGAGAGATCTATAAATACTTGTAGCTCCTAATTTCTGTCTGTTATCTTAAAGAACATAAGAGAGCCTTGTATCCCGGGGCAGACAGCCTGGCAATCATGTGACACACTCTTGCTCAGTATAAATAGCATAGCATGTCACCCCTGCTTTATTTCACCCTCTCCCTCAGCCTGCCCAGCACCACCGCCGGCGCTGTCCTCAAGGAAACTTGATACTACCAGTGTAAACTCTAGAAATTATCAGCCAGAGACCATCGTCCCTGAGAACTCTCTGCTCTGTCCTCGTGCCCCATGTCTGTCATGACTTCGAGATCTGCGAGGGGTTACATGAAGCACAACACGCTGTGGCATTGGGTCACCACATTAGCGCTGCTCGACATGCGGCTCCTCTCTGTGCCGAGGGAGCCGCAAGTAAAATACTGAGCAAATTGGCTGGGATTTTTAAACCTTTCCAGATCACGCTGGGAATATGTTGTGGTAAACAATCTTGAGTGCTTTTTTTAATGCTAGGTTTATTGATGAATCTCTGTATGAGGGAGTTTAATTGCATAGCCGCAGGGTCGACTGCACAATCTCTCCGACACGGGAGAGCGCTGGCTCTGCCAAATGTTAAAGATGGCACTTGAGCTTTTAAGGCCGCTGCTTTTCTTTCTCTCACACTGGCTTGTTTAAGGGCGGTTTCACCTGCCTTGTTTCTCACGACTGTCGTTGGTACCATAAGTGGTGACAACAAAGTTTCTTTGAAGCAGCACAGCGGAGGAACAGCCTGGTGTTCATGCTAGTTGTGGAAGAACAGCTTGGGGCTCCTTGGGTCAGATTTCTCCACTTATTTATGAGATAAGACTCTCTGGGACAGCTGGGCCAGTTGTTCGTTTTCACAACCTCACTCTCGCGCTTTCTCTCACGTCCCCTTTTAGAGTTTTGCACGGGTCCACCGAAGGTAAACATTCTCTACGTTGTGATGTTTAGTTCTATAAACAGACTATAAGCTAAACCTAACAAATGCTTGAAAGTCAGATTTGTCAATGGACATCAAACATGCAACACACAGGCATAATAAACCCCCGCTACCGAACGCAAAAAGCACACACACAAGAGATGACAGAGTAATTACCATGTGCCATCAATAAAAAAAACACTAGAATTCCCCACTGTGAAAATGAATCGAGCCTAAAATTGCGATGAAAGTGAGAGATTATGGCTCTGACGGTATGGCCAGGGACCATTCGTGGACTGTCTGATGCATATTGCTCATACTGGCAAGTACATTCGCAAACACTGGCTAGAAGTAATGATAACTTGATTTTGATTTGATAACTGTAATCAGTGAATTCAAATGATAAAAACTGAGTTTTTTTTAATGATTTAATAAAATAACTCTTATTGTAAACACTGGAGATGCAAATGTGGCCTTTATGTCTTTGTCATCCATGTCAGAAGGAAAAACTGAAAGTCATTGTTTGCTTTCACCTGCATCTTTACATAACTGCTCATCTTGGAGCTGAGATATTGAGAAAGAGCAATAGATGAGAGAATGTGAAAGTGTGTGTTTGACTCTCTTTTGAAGACAGTCTTCTGCATCAGCATCAGCAGCAGCGGGTGTTGTGGCATTGCCCCATTTGCCTGTCAGATTGAAACCGGCAGCTTCTGAAAAAGGGAACGGCTGAGCACGGCCTCGGCATCTCTGCAGGCAGCTGCTGCTTGGAGCCGTTCATTAATATAATAACTCAGCTCTGTATTTCTCCTCAGCCTCTGTCTCTTTCTCACCCCTTCTGTGAGAGTTCACCGCTGGTGGAGCTGTGTGAAGCTGAGGAGAGTTCAGACCTCAACCTGGAGGAGCTTCACTCAGTATGTCGCTTGTCTTTTATGTTTATACCCGAAGTCAACATCTAAGCATTTTTAGTTCTTTCATTCTCGATCTCTCCCTCTCTTTAGACTCATTCTTTCTCTCTGTGCTACTTGTAGATTTTTTTTCATGTCGGAAAGATATTATGACACTTTTTTTCTTGTTTGCTTCAAATGAGCTTCTGTCTTTCTCTTGCTTTTCCTGTTTCTTTCTCCCTTTGTACCATAAGAACAAAGTGCCAGTTGCAAAGCACAAAGCTGAAACCCCTACGACCCTGTAGTTGTGTGTGCACATACACACGCTGGTCTCTGGAGCCACTGTGAGCCACATTTGCAGGCCGCTCTCTCATACTTAACAGGTTAATTAGAGGATTTGTGTTAATGATCCAAGATTCTGATTAGACAGGCCCCTATGCGTTTGTACCCTGTAGGGCTGCATGATTATGACAGATTATAACTGTGAATTATTTCTGTTGATACTGTAATCATGATTATGAAATTCGATTAATAGAATTTGCTTTAAGAGAAGTCAGATGTAGTTAGACAGAAATCATCCAGGCAGATTAATTGCTTGATATTTAGTCATTCAGAGATTATCAGCATTTGTTTCAATTCCAGAAATACCTAATCCGCTTTGTTCATTGTTTGGTAAACTAATTAGCCTATTGTTTGAATTGTTTTAGTGAATGGTTTTTAGTAAATGTTGCGAATTAATATTATAAAAATTGACAATATAAAACGGTAGTATAATACTTTGTGTATATATATGTGCACTGGTTTGGGTGGTTTATGGGGACACAAATTTGTATAATGTCATGGGTATGACAGAGGGATTACAATGTGAAGGTGGGTTATGAGGACACTGCCTATGTCCCCGTAATTCAAAAGGCTTGAAAAACATATTAAATGGAGTTTTTTTGAAAATCTAAAAATGCACAAAGTTTTCTGTAAGGGGTAGGTTTAGGTGTAGGTTGGTGTAGGGCGATGGAAAATTTACATTTTGTACAGTATAAAAACCATTACGCCTATGGAGATTCCCTGTAAACCACCAATACCAACATGTATGTATGTTGCACAGCGTCATAGACACAAATACAAAACACCATCATGATGACACAAAAAAATCAAATAAAGCAATAAACATTATTTTTACAACAAAATCTGCGAAACAGGGGCCTAATTATTTAAATGAAATGTCAGTTTATGGTTTTTGACTGAAAATTATAAGATGAATTGTTTTTTACTACAAAAAGCTGTACATTTAACAGCATTTTACTGTAAAATTCTATGAAATGTCCATTTATTATAGTTTTCACATCATACATTAAAGGAACTTAATTGTTAACCAATTAACAGGTTTTTACCATAGCATTTCTAACCCTTAAAATTCTGAGTTGTTTTCAGTGTTATTTCAGTATTTTTTTGTACATTGGATTTTTTTGCGAGTAATGTGTTCCTGAATTAATTTATTGCTATTTTGTAAATCAGTAAATCAAGACCAAATTGAAAGTGCCTAAATGGTTGACTTCACGCTGGCCCACTTAGTAGCAGGAAAAACAGAAGTGTTGTTCACATTTTGAATAAATTATACACACAAAGTGAGCAACGTGGCAATACCAGAGCACTCCCATCCCATTACAATCACTGAAGCTGTCACTGCAGGTTTGCACATTTCAACGTGAAGTTTAGAACAGAAGTTAAACACAAAAACAGTCTACTGATGGCTAACAGTCTGGTTTAAACACCCCTGATTTGCCATTGCATTTGTGCACAATTGTGATTTTGGTTGTGAGTTTTTTTTCTTCTGGATGAATTGTACATTCCTAGTAGGGGTGGAATGGTTCAAATTACTCACGGTTCGGTTTGTATCATGGTTTTAGAGTCACGGTTTCGGTATGGTTCAGTATGTGCTATGTTTAGGCAAAAACTATACCGTCAAATAAAAATAAAGAATATGAATAATCTATCTAACTACAAGCAACAGCACAAATAAATACAATAGTGTAAAGATACAAATAAAATAAATTTGTAGGTAGGTCTAACATTAGTTTTTAGGTACAGAAATTGAATAAAGTAATCAAATGTAAAATAGCATTGCATATTTACTGTATAAATGAAAGATTAATCATTATTAAAGTTACAAAAGCTATTCAATCAAGAGCAGTGAGTGATTTCCTTGTGATTATTCCAGTGATTAGTACTGATACAGTACGTTCAGCCGGCTATGTTTGCTATAGGATACGTACCAAGACGGGCATTTTGACATAAGTTTTGTGTGAATTTGTCCATTCAAACACAATACTTCAGAGAGAGCTTAATATTTAAGTGCTTCGTATGAGCACACGCACATCTTCTCACTCCGCCCGCGGGCCGGAAGGTAGGGCTGCACGATTAATCGCATGCGATATTTAACGCGCATCTTATCAGTAAAGCCGGTTCTGTAATCAGCGGTAAATCTCCATCACCTGCGTGCTTTCACATTGAGCAGCATTAACTACACAGAGCCGTTGTTCACTGACGAGCTGCGCTAAACCACGTTCATATTCGCGCGATTTTTTGCGCAAAAAATTGTTTGTTTTACGTGTTATTTATAACGAACCATATTACAGATGCACTGTCAGATTTAAGTTGAACCGCGGTCCTAGTGCATGGAGAACCGTATGATTAGATTTTTTACAGAGAACCGTTCCACCCCTAATTCCTAGTGTCCAGGGTGCAATGATGGATGCAAGACTTGCCTTGGTGTGATTCTGGGCATCGGAGCTCAGTGCTCATCCTGGCCTGGCTCAGTAATGAATCAGCAGGGTTCTCGCCTGTCGCTGTGAGGGTCTTATCAGCCATACCTAGCTGCTGCTTGACAGCACGTGTGGCTTATGAGATCCCTGCGGAGACCCCCTTGACCCACTTAGACAACTTGCAGTAAGTACAAGTGAGTAGGGTGCTGATATCGTTTGAATCTGGAGTGCTTTTTCAGAATAAAGTGGACAGCGTTGCTGGCGCCTGCAAGAGACGAAGGATGTTTTAGCTGAAGACCTAAGCATGCTGGATTAGAGTTGAAATATTGCTGTGATTACAGAGAGGGGTCTTGTATCCCAGACTGACTGTGTAGACGTGGGAATGGAGATGTGAGTCTGTTGTGTATTCAGGTCTGTTCCCCTGCTAAACCTTCCTGATTAATTCTTTCCAAGCCGAATCCTGAGAATCACCTTTTTCCTTAATCACACTCTCTTTCTTTCTGTCTTCACGTGTGGAGGTTTATAAAAACTGTGTTTTTGCCTTTTGCCATCTTAGCTGAACAAAACTGGAAGTGCCACCATCAATGTTTGTCAAACTAAAATTGAACATAACTCTGTGAAAGTATGCGAATGCTGATTCTTCTAACTACGAAATGTATTAGAATACACTTGGTAGCGCAATACAAATACCATTCAAAGTTTGGGATGGGTAAGATTGTTTCTTTTGCTTAATAAGGCTGCAGTTTTTTCCATCAAAAATAGAATAAAAACGGCAATATTACATTTTAAAATAACTTTTCTATTTCAGTATATTCTGAAATGTAATTTTTTCATGTGATGGCAAAGCTACATTTTTGGCAGCCATTATTCCACTCTTCAGTGTGTCACATGATCCTTCAGAAATCATTATTTGGTGCTTAAGAAGCATTTCTTGTCACTATCAATGTTGAAAACTGGTGCTGCTTAATATTTTGTGGAAACACTGATACATTTTTCAGGGTCCTTTGATGAACAGAAAGTTTAAAAGAAGAGTTATTTTGTAACAATGTAAGTCTTTACTATCTCTTTCAATCAATTTAGTGCATCTATTCTGAATAAATGTATTAATAAAAAATAAAAAAAAACAACCCCAAACTTTTGAATGGTAGTGTATGATATACCACTCCCTGATTAAACTTAAGACTAAACAAGAAAAAAGTCACAATATTTTGTAGGTTAATTTATTGAGAAATAGTTCACGGTCAGTTCTCTTTTGGGTTAACTGCTGTCACAGTGGTACAACCTACAGAAGAGGTTTGTTAGCGAAGATGATGTTTTCGATTAATTTTTTCCAAGCATTTGCATACTTGCATATAGTATGGTTCCGCTCTTTCTTTGTTATGGTTGTCAGATTTCGTAAAAAAAAAAAAAGAAAAGACTTAGCTTCTTGATGAGGACCCGGCTCTCCAGGGATCCCTTGGGCTCCAGCTGAGCTGACCTGAAGCCATTTCTCTGCATTGCATTACCATGCTCATTAATGATAGTGATTAGGACCATGAACAGCGGCTAAATCTTGACACTCACACTCAGCAATCAGAGACTGGAACAGGACTGTAATTTCTTTAGTCACACTCTATCTGATATTAGTCATGTTTGATAACCGTGTCTGATATTAGTCATATCTGGTTACCAGGCCCACACAGAATCTGCATGAACATCTCCACTGATTTGGACCACCCTTCTTTCAAAAGACACCTTCTGCTCCTTTTATTCAATATTTTGGTTAATTTGATTATTATTTCAGCTCTAAATAATCAAATAAGAATTCAGGATTCTCAACATCCATTCTGGAGAATTTTCCTCCCAAATCAGCGCTAACAAATCCAACAGATACCTTCTGGGTCTGCTGATAACTATGTTACTGGCGTAGTCTTAAACTAGGTCATGAATACACTTCCAGCACATCTACGTGCTAAAGTGTTCAAGCATGTTTAAGAGATGAGATCTGGTGGCGCTGAAAATGGAGATTGATCCCAACAATTAAGTGACATTGGCTAGCAGAGTCATGCTGATATATTGCACTTCGGAAAGTTAATAATGGCTGTCTTGCACTTCGGAAACTTAATAATGGCTGTCTTGTTTTATACATCCAATAAAAAGCAGCAGGTGTAACGTCCTTAATATCAGTCGACGGCGAAGACCCGAAGACTCCCGACAAGCGGTTTGAATAATAACCCACCTGCTTTCTCGCTGCTCAATATGCGACTTTAAAGAGGCTTGGAGACGTAG